TTTTTTCTAAACTGTAATTTTCCACTACTGTAGCATTTGGTTACTGGGTTCAAGCATAGCGGAATTTTCCTCCATGACCTAGTTACTGCCACCAGAATGATTGACAGCAAAACTGTGCCATATGTATCAAACCCATGGAATTTTCCTCTGTGCTCTGTCATTTCTCCTCTGGGCTATACCAATTCTCCTCTGTGCTATAGGCATCTAATTAATGGGTTCTGACAATAGGTACAAGGGAGGACAAGTAAGGGTGCACAAGCAATACTAATTCTGCCATTTGCAAGCTTTGGAGTGCTAGAACTTGCAACTTTAATAATGCTCTTTTTATGTAGCTTTTGTTCATATGATTTCCTGGGTTTCAACAAAAAAATGAGCAAGATGGTAGTTTAATTCTGGCATCATACTAATTTCCCACGCCAGTCATCAACTGGAAAGGCCCTTTAAAGTTTAAATCTACCATGCAGGCTTCTGCTACTTGATCTAGCAAGTAACTGATACAAGTAGTAGGACCATATGGACTGGGCTAGAACACTGCCAGTGAGATTCAGAAAAATCTACTGACAGTAGAAGAATGGCGAGTCTAAAGCAAGGGTTCCCAAGCTGTCGTACACATACTGTTGGGGGTACACAATGCAACATCTCTGCGGGGTACACAGGAGAAATTGTGTAATGACTAATAGTCCTCCACCCCCTTTCCTTCATGTTCAATCACAATTTGCCTACTCAAACAGCCATGGCCTCCTCCCAACCCAACTCCCAGTCTTAGTTTCCATCTTCTCCCACATTTACCATCTTTCCTGCCAGATTTCTTGCCTTAGTCTACCACCTCTATCTTCTTCAGCAGGGCCTGTTCTTAGGCAACTTCCTTCTTTTTGGACCTGGACCAATTAAGTCATTAAGGTACCTGGCAGACCTTACACTTAAAACATGATTAACCAGTTAGTTGTGTCTTAAGTAGTAATCTAGCCACACCTTCAAGCAGTTAACCACACCATAAAATAGGGACTAAGCCACAAAGTTATTACACAAACTACCTGTAATAAATGTGGCTGGTTCCCACTGCACCTTAAATTGAACATAGTGATCAGCTGATTGGTGCTCCTAGCCTTAGGTGCCTGTGGAGCCCTTTGCTCTGGTGCACTCCCATGGCTGGGAGTGTCACTCAGCTGACTGGTGCTCCCAGCCTTATGAGTACTGGGCACTTAGCTACACTGGCAACCAAGGGGAAGGGAGGTGCACTTACACCCTACTGATTCCTGCTCCACCCAGAGTTTAAAAACAATTGCCTGGCATTGGCAGCAGGTTGCTAATTGGCAGTGATGTGGGAGTCAATTGACTTCATGGCTTATTGTAATCTACTCGATCCCTTCTAAACTCTTCATTTCACAGGTGTTTACCACCGTCTATTTACTGTAAGTCTTGATGTTGCACTAACAGTTCTGCTGTCTGTTAGCTGCTACTGGTAAAACCCTGAAGATAGTTTTTAACTAATTCCAATGAAGTTATATTTGTTTTTGCTTCAATCTTAAAACAGAATAATACAGCCCTAGCCTTTTAGCGTATTAGCAAACATTCTAGTTTATTTTTAAGGGGAGAGATGTGTGTTATTTTTTTGTGTGATGAGGCATCACACCAGCTGCACCCCCCTTTTCAAAATCCTAGATCCACCTATGCTGAAAATAGGGCACAATTGTGCCCTGACCCCTGATCCTACAATTGTGCCTCCTGCCATGCACGTGTGGAGGTCCCCAGGTCTGCTGGGGCTGGCAGGGACTGGAGCAGCCAGCAAAGCTGGATATCCAGCTGGTTCCTGGGCTGCCACTGCCCTGCCCACTCCCAAGGCTCTCCAAAGCCTGGGAGCGCCAGAGATTTTCAGAGACTGTATACACCCACGCATATGCATGCATGTATCCATCCATCCTCTGGCCATTTTAGCTGAAATTCGTCCCCACCCACAAAAATCCAAAAACCCAGCAGCCCGTTCGAGGAAGACCGCAGGCACGGGGCAGCTGAGCAGAGCCGCACGCCAGCAGCACAAACTAGAGCACCGCACCGAGCTCCTCCCACGTTTTCTCCACAGCCATCTCTATGACTACGCCCTGCCGCTCCCTCAGCAACAACCCCGGTTGGGGATGCGCCAGAGTGCTGTGCTGCTGGCCCCGCCCCTCGCGGCACAATCACGACAGCGGGGGGCTCCTGCCGTAAAGCGCGCGCTTAACCTTGGCGAAGGAGTAATGGCGG